CAGGAAGCGAAGCCCTGCAGGTCCAGCGCGGAGCCCTGTAGCTTTGGACGGTCCGCAAGACTGAGTCGGCGCGGGGGCGGGGCGGGGGCGGGGCAGGGACAGGGGGCGGGGCTTATCTGGCTGCACGGCTCCCCTGGCCATTCTTGCTAAATCTTTTTATTACCTGGAGCTTAACTACATTATCTCCTGCATGTTTGCATTCCTCTCGTTTTTTTTTTAAACTACAGGAAATGATAAAGGAAAAAAAAAAAAAAGCTTCTGTTTGCTTTCCCCCTCGGGGTGCCCAGGGAAAGAATCTGCCAAATTCCTCCTCCCAGTGTAAATAGGTTTTGGGTTCCCCTCATCTGAGAGTAGGGGCAGCTCTGTTAAGTCCAGCTCCTGGGGAAATGCAGAAAGGCAGCCACTGTCTGGGGCAAGGTGGTTTGATTGGGGGGAGGATTGCTTTGGCTTCCTGCAGGGACTTCTGAAAATGGAAGAATTGTTTCCAGTTAATATACCTTTTAGAAAGGAGGGAGTTCAGAGCAGGAAGGGGACGGGGAGAGAAAGGTGCAAGGTGTAATTTGTCCAAATATCCACCGAGTCCCCAGTGCCTGCAAGAGAAGTCTGAAGCAGACAAGGGCTAGAGGAATTTGTGTTCTTCTAAAGACCCTTGCCCCTTCACATCCTGAGCTAGCAGATGAGAGGTTAGGCCTGTCCTCCAAATAGGCTCAGAGCCCTGGAGCTGGGGAGGGCAGAGCTGGCAATCAAACTTAGTGCTTGTGAAGCTGAGTGCAAATGGCTCTGACCTCCATGGTGTCTTCTCCAGCTGTTTCTTGGGTGTTCTTGATGGACAGTTCAGGGCTATTGGAAGACACAGGTTCTAACTAGCAGTTGATGGAGTCAGGATTACTTGATATGGACTTTTTTCTTTTTTGTACTGGGGATTGAACCTAGGGACACTTTATCACTGAGCTACATTTCCAGTCCATTTATTTATTTATTTATTTATTTTTATTTTGAGACAAGGATCATGCTAAGTTGCTGAGGCTCGCCTTGCACTTGTGATCCTCCTGCCTCAGCCTCCCAAGTTGCAGGAATTACTGGCTGCGCCACCTGCCATCTGGCCCTTAATATGGGACTCTTAACGACAGAATGTTCTCTCAGGTTAAGAAACTATTAGCTGAATACAGTGGCATGAGGCTGCGGTCCAAGTTAATTGAGAGGCTGAAACAGGAGGATTGCTTGAACCCAGGAGTTAGAGGCCAAATTGGACAACACAGGGAGTCCCATCTCCAAGAAAAAAATAAATTCTCACTCAGAATCACTAAAGGATAAGCACCTTTTGTAGCCACAGGGTGTTCCTAACTGGTCACCTGAAATAATTGCCTAAGGACCCTTCCCTCCCTTCCTTTTAGTAGGAAGTGTCATTAGTTCACGTGGGAATGGTCTGTTCAGATCCATTTCGGGCATCCTGTTTGCCTCTGAACTCTCTAAGTGACCAGAGTTTCTTTGGTGGCATGCATGTGACACTGTGCCCCGTGCTCCGGCTGTGCCCCGTGCTCTGGTTTTCGCTGTCCATGTCAGGAAAGGGCCCAGCTGAGGGAGGGAGTGGCTTGGGTAGGAAAAGGCCAATGCACTGCTGAGTGGGGAGGCTGCCTTGGGTGCCTGGGAGGGTCAAGGATGCTGGCTGGTCTCTAAGCTTTCAGAAACTTGAAAGACAGGCTGGAATTGGTCAGATAAAGGTGAGTGGAGGCAGGTGCAAGCAGGTGAAGGTGAGAGACCTTCTGGGCAGGGAGGAAGGCACTTGCCAAAGCCTGGGGGTGATTGAATCTTAAGTGAAATTGTTAAAACTGGAAAGTCATGTTCATCTTATCTGTGCCGGACTCCCGTTTGCCATGAGGGGCAGATCAAACACAGTCTGGTTTTTCATTCCTCTTCTTGCTCCCTTCTGGGGAAAAGAACTCTGGCCCTTGGCTGCTTCTCTGATGGAGATGTGAGATGTGGAGGGTTTTAGGCCCTTTGAGCATAAAGATGGTGCTGCTGACTGGAGAACAGGGTAGACCAGGGTATGCAGTGTTCTGGTCTCTGCAATTTGTCTGCCCCTCCCTGAGACAGCAATGCCTCTAACAGAAGGTGGACAGGAAGGGTCAAGGCCAAAGCCACTGAGCTCCAGCCTGTCCAAGTTTGGTGCATTCTTTAATTCTAGCAATCATTGAATAATTAGTTTTTACATTTTAAGCCAGAGTTTTGCTAAAATTTCAGAAATGCCTCCTCATAATGGCTTCATTTTCTTTTTTTTTTTCCTTCTGGTGCTTTGATGGACACAATACCTTTTTATTTACTTATTTTTATGTGGTGCTGAGGATGGAACCCACTCAGTGCCTCACACGTGGCAGGTAAGCACTCCAGCCCTGAGCTATAGCCCCAGCCCTGGTTCTTTGATCTTAATAAGCTCCTCCTATGTCCACGAGGGCTCTAGGGCTCATCGCTGAGCTCTGACACACAGTGTGAATGAACTTTCTCAGGCTCAGTTTCCTCTCTTGAAAAAAATGGGCATATGATGGTCTCCACCTCATAGGGTGATCAGGGTTGAATAGGATCTTGTTTATAAAGAGCTCAGCGCCAGGCACGGTGTTTGGCTTTGAATAAATGGCATCTATTATGTGCACAGGAAAAAAAAATGTCTGTAGTGAAGTGTTGGCAGCATTTAAGTCCAACGGGTGGGATTACGGTCTCAATGAATATCTATTTTGTAACCAGAGAAAAAAAGAACAATAAATGTTATTAATTTAAAATCTTTTTTTTTGTTGTTGTTAATATAAGTGTACTGACCCTCAAGTAAGACCAGACCTCTGGTTTTATTCTGAAACTTTAAAGACAGACGCCCCCCCAACACCCCAACCAACTAAAGGGAGATAGTTGGTCAGAAAGCTCGAGAGAAGTTTCTCCTCCACCCAACCTTGCTGTCCCGCTGCTGTCTGGAGGGCGGGCAGGGAATTCAGAGAGCGCAACTGTGAAAACAAAGCCCTTCCTCCCACCAGGAAGGCGCTCCCAGTTCTCAGCGGGAAATCTAGCTCTCCAAGGGACCATTCCAGGAGCGTGACATTTGCCCTCTATCAGGACTTCTCTCCAGAATCTTGGAAAAGAAAGCATGCACTAGCCCCGTTCCAGCTGGAGAACTGCAACTGTCCTGGCCTGGCCTCCAGGACGCCCTGAGGCCCAGGCTCTTGGCTCTGTCTCCAGTCCAGATTCTTGACTGCCAGCCCAGTGCCTGGGCAGCAGCAGGAGGCAGACCTGACAGAGCTACAGGGCCACCTCCAGCCTGGGCCTGCCCCTCCTGGGCCATCCCCCTACCCACCCTCTCTGGTTATCTGTGGTAGCATCGGCCTGCACTGGGCTGGCTTCTGAGCGCCTTCTTTCTCCTCCTTCCGCACCCTGGAGGGGCATACTGCTGCTGACGCTGGAATAAAATGCAGCCTCTGTTTCGGAGACAAAGAACAGAGAGGCTCCTCCGGTCAGCTGTCCCTCTTGGCTGGCAGGCTCCCTGCTCTCCCTTAGGCCTCTCCCGAGGCTCCCAGGTGTTTTCTCTGGATCTTAAAGGCATGTTTGACCAGGGAAAAACCCCAGCAGTTTCCCCTGCATGATGTTCCTTGGCTGGGATGGGGCAAGGAAGCACCGGGGCTGGGAAGGAAGCTTGTCTAAGCTGGACGCTGGAGCTGGTGAGAGCTTGTATTTGCACAGCAGTGTGAGTGCGTGTGTACGTGTGCAGTTTCCTGAGCAAGTGCATATGTGTGTGTGCTAGGATGGGAAGAAACTAGAGTGAGTACATGAGAAACAAAGTGTGTGCACGTACCAGCTGCAGTGGGACAAAGTTTTGTGCTCTTGATTTTGGAGCTGTGTGTACTAGTGTGAGGGTAACATTGTTACAAACGTACCGCCTGGGGTGGGTGTGCACGAGGAAGCCCAAGTGTTCCCGTGCACTGAGTGTGAGGGCACGTGGACAGGCACGTGTTGGTAGTCGCGGGCACGGGCGTGTTCAGGAAGGCACCAGCACACGTGCCGGTATGTATGCACCAGACGGTGAGTGCACACGCGTGCACCAGCGCGTGCGGGTGTGCGGGTGTGCGTGTGAGCACCAGCCTTCAAGTGAGTGCGCGCGCACCACCGTCACCCCCCCACCAGTCAGAGCAGGTTGCCATGGGAACGCGCCGCTGCTCGAGTTAATCATTTCCTGTGGAAAGTGTGCGGGAGGGGCGGGCACGGGGCGGGCCGAGCCGAGGAGGCGGTGGCGTGGAGCTGCCTCCCGCCGGCTGGCCGTGCCGGGCCGGGCCGAGCTGCGGCGACACCGGGATCGTGCCTCCGCCAGGCGGGTGAGTCGGGGCTTCAGCGGCTGAGCAGTCGGGCCCCACCCAGCCCCGACCGGGGCGTAGCAGCCGGCTGATTCCGCCCGCGGGACCCCTCCGCCGGGACCTGGTGGGGCGCTGGGAGGGCCGGGCCCCGGGACCTGGCTGTCCATGGGGTTCCCAGGTTTCTCCGGGGGAGTGGGGGCGGTCTGTCCCCTGGGATCGGAGCAGCCTGGGGACCCTGTTCAGATTGTAACTGCGAGAAAGAACCCATACCTACCTGAGAGCCGCTGGTCAATTAGCACCGCCCCCTCCCCTGCAGGGGTCCCCCGCACCGCTAGGACACCCTGGAAAGCTGTCCTTGAGGTCCCTCCCACCACGTCCTCTGGGCAGTTGGCTTTCCTCCTGTCAGGCGGAGGGTGGGGTGCGCCAGCCCTGAGGTGGGGAAGCAGGGCCTGGGCAGTGTCCTTCCAACAGTAGGAATCAGCCGTTGACAGCTGCAGCCCCGGAATCCCGGCAGGGAGGGGGGCCCAGAAGCTGCCCCCTGCAGCCCCCATGCCCGGTTAGAGCCACAACTCGGAACTGGGCTGGCTGGGAACTGGGCTGGCTGGCGCAGGGAAGGGGCCTGGTCCCGTCCCGGGAGATTTTTAAAACGGAAGCTGTATGTAAATTCTCAAGTACCATTTGTCACCCCGACCCCACAAGACATCTGTCTCAAGGTTGGGGGTTGTGACCACCCCCTGCCTTTCCGGTTCCCTGGCTTTTTCTCAGTCTTAGGCTAGGTGAGTACCAGGCTATTCCCTCTGCCCTTGACAAAGTAGCCATCTCCTTGGCCAGGCAGAGTCATTTGCTAGGAATGCAGCCTCAGAATGGGGCTCTGGATTCGCAGTGATTGGACTTAAGGAACACGGGGTGGTGAGTTCTGTTGCTGGTAATGGCACCAGGGAGCAGAGGCTTTGAAATCTGGATTGCCCTGGAAAACCCAGGATGTTTGATGTGGAGCAGGGGAAGTCCCAGCTCCTGTACAACCCTCCTGCCCCCCACTCTCCCAGAGGAACCAGCCCTTCCCAGCAGCAGTCTGAGGGTGGGGTGCTGTGAAGTCTTTCCCTCCAACTTTGTCCCTGGTCCAGGGCAGAGGGGAGGGCTGCAGCTCTGTGTCCTGGCCCAAACTGAGGGGCAGATGCCCTCTTTCCCAACCAGGCCCTCTACAATCACCCACCACTGGGAGCAAAGTCACTGAATAACAAAAATTTGGATATCTGAGTGTATGCCAGCATTGTTCTGAATACTACATGTGCATTGTCTAATCTTTAGACCAACCTTCTAAGGTGGAGTTGTTCCCATTTTATGGATGGTGATAATAAGGCACAGAGGCAAAGTTCCCAAGGTCACATGTCTACAAAGTGGCAGAGCCAGGTTCTGAACCAGTCCACCTCCCTACCCCATGACTCCTAGGTCCACAGAGGTCCCAGGACTCAGGTTGGGTATCAGAGGCCCATGCAACGAGGAGAGACAGACAGTGCAGAACCTCTTTCTTGGCCTGGAACCTGAGCTTGCTTGGGATTCCTTGAAACTTTTGACCTTCACATCCCTCCAGCTGCTAAATTCAGCTGCTTTTTCCTTTTGGGGATCAGCACACACCCTTCCTCTTTCTTCCTGACATCTTCCTGGCAGCCGCTCCAACTTCCCTTCCTGATAGCACAGAAAATGATCTCCCCCACCCCTGCTGATCTTCCTCTCTTAACTATGGAGTCAGCCCTCAGTGCCTGGCACCAGCTCACCTTGACACACAGGTGCACCTGCCTCTCCTTCCTTGCCCCTTGTGGTGGGGCTGGGTTTTGCCCAGCTCTGCCTCAAACAGCCCGGAGAAGGGCCGAGAGTCTGCACCTTTGGCTCTCCCCTCCACTCTGCCACTTCAGTTCCTCAGTGGTGCTGGGCCACAATTTGGATCAGGCACTGCCCTGTCCTTCAACCACATTCCTGTCCCCTTCCAGTGAGAAGCACCCAGGAACAGCCTACTTCAAGCTGTTTCCTCCATGAAGGAAGGAGGAGACCATGATTGCTGTTCTTCCAGGTTTTAGCTCCAAAACATCAGAGATCAAAACTTCTGGCCTCCCAGCCCTGGACTCCCCCGCACCCCGCCACTTCTTTGCTGCACCTCTGTCTACCCAACAGGCCACCTCCCCTGTTCTAAATTCCACAGCCTCTCAGTTCATCCTCTCCCTCCCAAACTTCCCCAAGGAGAAGGAAGTAGCTGCTTCCTCTGGCCCCCACCCCACTTCCTGAGTCTTCCTCTGCCCTCCTCTGTGTGATTCTCTAAAAGGACCCCCCGGGCTTTCTGCCCATCTTTCTTCCACATTGACATGGCCACCTGGCTGTCCTTTCCTTCTCACTCACTCCCTAGTCCCTTATGAGGACTGTGGAGTGCCCCATGCTCCCGGCACTCTCTGATTTTCCTTCACCAGCTTCCCTTCCCACCCCTGGACGGAGCCCTGGCCTCGCCTAGTAACCTCGTCTCTTGCTCACCCTTACCTTTGGCAGCGATGGCCTTTTGCTCTGGGTCTTGGTGTCCTGACCTGACCTCTCTTCCAAGCTTCAGTGGGAGTGTTTGTGGGTGTTTGTTTCGGGATGTTCATCCAGGGAGCCATGGCGAGCTCAGGCCATGTGCTGTGGGCCCCAAAGGTGGATGTACCCTGAGCCCTGCAAAGGATGGGGAAAGTGGCCCACAGCACAGGTAGCTCCATGGGAAGTCCCTTGGGTGTCCCTAACTCAGTATTAAAACCAAAACCAGGGGCTGGGGATATAGCTCAGTTGATAGAGTGCTCGCCTCGCACGCACTCCAAGCTGACTTTCTGTGAGTGGCTTCACTGAATCTAGAACTGTAGCTCAGTCATCTTAAATGTCCTCAAGGCTGCTCTGCACACAGTAGGTCCTCAATAAAGCAGTGAATGCACTGGATGTGGTGGCCCACACCTGTAATCCCAGGGATTTGGGAGGTTGAGGCAGGATGATTGCAAGTTCAAGGCCAGCCTCTGTGATGTATTGAGACCTTGTCTCAAAATCAAAAGGGCTGGGGATATAGTTCAGTGGTGGAGTGCCCCTGGCTTCACTCCCTAGTTCTGGGGGATGGGGGAAAGTGAATGTTTGCCGTCTGTTCTGTTTGTTTGTTCAGTTCACAAGGGACCTGCAGGGCTTTCTCTGTTGGCCAGAGCTCCCCACCCCACCTCTGTTCCCCGCTACCTTTGGCCTCCATGTATCCTTTCACACCGTGAGGGTTTATGAAGTGTTTATCTCCCTTCTGCCTGAAAGCTTTGAGGTCACATCTCCCCTAATCAACTAGAAGTTCCCCTAATCAACCAGAACTTCTAGGAGGAAGTCCATGGGAAGCTGCCCATGACCCTTCACACATTCAATAAATAACTGTTAAATGGAGAATGAGTGAATCTTGGTGTCTCAACACCTGGCAGGGTTCTGCCATGCCCTTGGCTCAGAGGAAGGGTGCTGGGGTGCAGGACTGACTGAATTGTAAGAGAACTGCTGTATGTAAACCTGGCTGGCCACAGTCCGGGTTCTTCTGAGCCCCTCCTTAGTGAAATGCTGGTGTTCGGAGCATTAGCTGAGGCAGAGGAGCCTGAAGGCTCAGGCCATGGCTGATGATGATTAGAAAAGGAGAGGTCTCCCAGAAACAGGGCAAGACTTACCAGGATGTTGCCAGCTCCCAGTGCTTCTTCCATGTGGGGCTCTGGCCCGCCATACCTTCCTGCTGCCAGGCTCGGGAGGAGGGGCTCAGACGTGAGGTCTCTTCAGAGTGCCCCAGACACATCTGAGCACTCCATATTCAGGAATAAGCACCCCCCCAAATGGAGACAGAACCCATTTCGTCCTGCCAGCCCAGGGTCCTTGGGAGATGTTGCAACTGAGGCTGCAGGGCTGGGTAACAGGTGACCCATCCCTTACAGACCTTCCAGACTTTCCAGGGCGCCCCCAGCCCTCCTCAAGCTCTCCTCCCGTGTTCTCTCCGCAGGCTGCCCGGCACCCAGAGGAGGCTGCTGAGCCCCGGGCCATGGTCCCCTCTCGCAGGACGTGGAACCTGGGAGCCACGCCCTCACTGCGGGGCCTGTGGAGAGTGGGCCGGGCCCGGGAGCCCGAGCCGGGGATGGCTCGCCCCGCCCCAGCCCCAGCCAGCCCCGCCGCCCGCCCTTTCCCACACACCGGCCCGGGGAGGTTGAGAACTGGTGAGTCCGCATTTTTAAAATGCCTCTTTATTTCCCTTCCTTCCTCCAGATACCAGAGATGAGACTGAGGTTCTCGCCGGCTCCTAACCTCAGTCGGAGCTGTCAGGTAATTACAGGGTAACCGGCCCGGCCGGGCGTGGAGCGCGCTCCGGCTCCTTCCTGCGCCCCTGCCTGGAAGGAGGCGGCTGGAGCGAGCGGGCTGCCTCCACCGTCCTAGGGCAGGGCTCAGCCCGTTCTCGCTCGCCCGCCAGGTCGGGGCCCTGTGATCTGCTGGTGGCCTGCCGGTGGGCGCGCTGAGTCTCTGCCAGAGGCCGGTAAACAAGGTAGGTGAAGCGACTGCTCGGCCGGGCGCGGACACTTGATCCCGCCCGGGCTCGCCCCGGACGCACGGCGCGAGGACTGAGCCCCGGCGCCCCGGAGCGCGGCTGGCGGGGTTTGGGTGCTGTGCGCCCCGGAGCGCGGCTGGCGGGGTTTGGGTGCTGTGCGCTCAACTTCAGGTCCACTTTGGCTTCCGTGGGGACCCTGACAGCAGGTGCACGGTGTAGGGGTTCAGGGCTCTGGGTCCCTCCGGGCCCCCTGGGGAGCTGTCAGAGCCAGCTTGTCTTTTCTGGGTCATGTCCCCTGGTGCAGGAACATCAGGAGTGAGTAGCTCCTCTGATTCCAGGTGGGGCTGGATTGTCAGGGCTGGGGAGTTGCTCATGACCCTTCTCCGAGCTAATGTGTGGGCAGATCACCCAGAGAGTGTGGGAGATGGGGCTCTACAGGTGAGGTGCCTTCAGGGAGGGATTTGCCGTCTATCACTCCTGATTGACAGGGACAGGGGCTTAGTTTGCCAGTTTTGACCCTCTAAGCCATTAGGTCCAAATTTCTCAGTGTACAAAAAGGGAAACTGAGGACAAGAGAGGGCAGACTCCTGCCCACTTCCCCCCACTCACACTCAGACCACATTTTTAACATATTATTTATTTATTTATTATTTATTTATATATGGTGCTGAGGATTGAACTCAGTGCCTCACATGCGCTAGGCAAGTGCTCTACCACTGAGCTACCTACCACCCCAGCCCTCAGACCACATTTATGTCATCAGTGACAGAGTGATTCCTTCCAAGGTCTCCCAGCAATTGGGGTGCCTGGGGCTGGCTGCTCCCTAGCATCCAATCCAGGTTGGGATAACCTGGAGACCCCCAGGAAAGGTTGGGGCTTGTGTGTCAGGTAGATCTGGTTGTCTGAAAAGGGGATGTTCTCCACACTGTGAGGTTGTCGTCAGGATTATAAACGTAATATGAATAAGTATGGCTGTTCTAGTTTAAAAAAAGAAAGAAAACAAAAACATTTTCCCTTGGAAAACTTAAAAAAAAAACACAGAAAAACATTAAAAAAAGGAAAATAAGTTGCTGGGCATGGTGGCACATGCTTGTAACCACAGCTACGCAAGAGGCCAAGTCAGGAGGGTCACAAGTTCAAGGCCAGCCTGGGCTAGTGAGACCCTGTCTCAAAACAAAAAGGGGATGTAGCACAGGGGGAATCAACCTCTGGGTTCTATCCCCAGTATGGCCAAAAAAAAGAGAAGTCAGTGGGCATTCTGTATAACTCTAATGGTGTGTGCATGCATGTGTGTAGGTGTTTGAGACAAGCGTTATGACCACACAGACTTTTACCCACTTAAAAATTTAAGACAAAAGTCAAACAAAAGCCTAGGTGTGAAATGCAGGCAGAGCAGCAGCCCCTGGGCAGGATCTCAGCCGACTGAGCCCCTGTCCCCACCACCTCCTAGTGCCCTGCAAGGTGTGACGGTGGAGGGCTGGTTGGCATGTGGGACTTGAACACTAGCTCCACATGACTCTGGGCACTCTCCTGCTCCCCACCTCCCTGGGTGGTTTGAGGAGCTACTGGCAATTGCGGACTTAATGGGCTGGACTGGGGGCACTTTCTGGGTGCTGGGCGCTTGGGGGTTCTTCTTGTGCCTCATCCCATTTGATCCTCAGCAAGGCGCTGAGGTTGGTTTGTTATCCCCATTTGATGTCAGGCAAACCGAGCATCGGGAGGCCTGCAAGACCTGAAAGGCACACAGCCCTGTGGCTGGCACTCAGGATATGATTTGTCCCCAGCAGTGGCTCCGCAGTTTGCCCTGTGAGGCAAGCCCCTTTTCCACGCTGCCCCGCCCCATGGCAGCCCCAGGCAGCCCCAGGCAATGTGTCAAAGGCCCATCAGGACGTGCTTCTGGTGACTGTAGGAACCAGGCCACCTGGCTCCTAACCTCAGTCAGTTTGGTCTTAATGAAGGCGGGGAGAAATTGCCACCTAGAGGCAGCCTGGGTAATAAAGCCGAGGCCCTGGGGTGGCAAGCTCTGGCCTCCTTCTCCTGCTGTCCTGTAGAGGTGCCGGTGAGGAAGTGCGTCCCATAAGCCACTGTGGGAAGAGGGGGCCCCTGCCGGCATCTTGCGTGCCCTCCAGCAGAGAATCTTGGTGGCTTTTGTTAAGAAAGTTGCTCAGCTCTGCTGGTGCCAGGCCTTCCCTCTGCACAGGGCAGGCACGTGAGGGCATGTGAGTCCCTTCTGGCCACGCCTGGGCCAGCTGGGAGAATGCACGAGCCAGGCCCTGGCCAGTGGTCCAGGGCCAGCAGTCTGAGCTTCTCACCTGTCTGTCTGTCCTGGGACAGGGCGTGGAAGAGATACCCTGGTTGGCAGCGACGAGGACTCCAGTGCCCGAGTAGCAGCTCGCCCAGCCCTAGCACGGTGCAGAGCCCTCAGCGTGGACTGGGCGGGCCCCGGGAGTCCCCACCGGCTCTACCTGACTGTGCAGGTAAGCCCTGGGGCCTTCAGCAAGGTGAGGGGTTGAGCTGGGCCGGCTGGGCCTTGGCCTCTGAGCTCCAGACATGGTCTCCCCGAAAGATTTCTGGGTAGAACAGGGGACTGCCTCATTCTCTGCCAAGCTCCTTGCAGCCCACCCAGCAGCCCACCCAGCCATGGGCCTGCATGGATGGGGCACTTTGCTTTCTAAGTTATCTAAGGGAGATCACACGGGGGAGGTGACAGATGCTTTCACAGCCTGGCTGAGGTGTTGAAGTAGAAAGTATGGGGCCTTTGTAGGGAGAGGTCTTGGGAAAAGAGGCCCGTTTGGGGCGGCTGTTGATTTCCTCTCTGGCACATGAGCCCCTGGGGGGCAATGCTGTATTTCCTTCCTTTAAGTGAGAATCCCAAGCTAGACTGGGGTTTCACCAAAACTTGGGTTCTTTTCTCTTGCCGTTATCACTGACTTTTAAAAGGCATTTTTATGTGTGTGTGTGTGTGTGTGTGTGTGTGTGTGTGTGTTTGATTGTAGAAATAATACATAAAGAGAGTAGTACTAACGGCTTCTATTTATTGAACACTGTTACTACAGAGGCATTCTATGTCCTATCAGGACAGTTACTGTTTTATAGATAAAGACAGGGAAGTAAGAGAGGATGAGTAGGTTGCTGCTGGTCACAGAGCAGGCTAGGACCTCAACCACTGAACACAGCTGACTTTATAACACACGGCACACAGAATTCACACTATGCAGAGATACAGTCCTTAGAAGCTAAAGGCCTTTTGTGGTCTTCTATCTTTGAAAAACCACTGGTGTGTATCCATCTATCTTCACTTAGCTATATGATTTTTAGCATTTTGACCTATTATTCTTTTTTATTTTAATTTTTAAATTCGAGGCAGAGTCTTGCTAAGGCTGACCTCAAACTTAACAATCCTCCTGTCTCAGTCTCCCAGGTTACTGGGATTACAGGCATGCACCACGGCGCTGGGCTCACATATTATTCTGTGACTAGTTCTTTTCTTTAACAGTAGTCTCGGTGATCTCTTTACACATGTTAGTATACAGAGAACCACATTGCTCTTTTAAACAGTTGGATCACAGTCTGCTTGAGGTTTTATCATAAGTCATTATTGGGCTGGGGATGTAGCTTATGATAGAGTGCTTGCCTAGCATGCTTGAGGCCCTGGGTTCGATCTCCAGTACCATCAAAAAAAAAAAAAAAAAAAAAAAAAAGATTCTCTGCTGTTGTTTCTACCTGTGGGGAGCTCCTTGAGCGTTCGTGCAGCTATAACTGAGTATTTTCATGGAGGCATGGGTGCTGCCCATCTTTAATCACTGAAGGGCATACCACGCGCCGGCATGTACTCTGGGTGGGGATACAGGGAGGAAATAGACCCACAGCCACCTTGTGGAGGCCCCAGGCCCCAGGTGGTAATGGCTGCCAGCCGGGTAGGGGCCATAAATGCAGGGACAGAGGACAAAGTACCAGGGTCATCGGGGGGGCTTGGTGGAGGCCTTCCTAAGGAAGGTTGTACCGGGGAGGGCTGCGTTCCCCCACATTCTTCTGACGTCGAAACACAGATTCCGCCCTTTCCAGAATCCCAGATGCACACAGCGTTGATGGTGTGGGCACAAATGGAGGTCAGGGGCGTGGGAAACTCACGTGCCCATCTAGTGAACCCGAAGTCCTGTGGCCACGCGTGGGGTGTATGGCCCCAGTCCCCACTGGTAGGGCCTGGGATTGGTGTTCCTTCAGGGACAGTCTTGCATTTGGTGGTGTTTCTCAGCCCTTCTCATGTGGTTTATCTGAAAATGGAACCACATGGTCCTTCTTTTATCTGGAAGGCGAGGAAGGCTGGCCAGGGAGAGAACCACTCTTTGCTCTGCCTTGGGCCACTGGTAGTTAAACCCGGAGGCTGCGGTCAGGAACACGCAGCCTCGAGTTGGGTGGTGGCTCTGTTCTGCGCCTTGATTATGGGTGTTGGGCTGGGGCCTCAGCCCAGTCCTGGGGTCAGCAGATCTGTGCGTCTCAGAAGTTGCCGCCAGCAACCAGCTTCCGTGCTGTGGTCCTTCCCACCCCCCTACCCCGCCCCAAGCTCTGTTCAGTTTATAGGTGCGTCAGGGTCTTGAACATGGGACGTGAGTGGGTTCCAAGCACAGCGAAGTGACCTGTAGCTAAGTGACCTCCAGCCTCTGCGCCAGCAGCTCCAACCTGAGCCCTCCAGTGGGGCTGCAGATTCCCAGCCCCCACCCCACCCCGCCGTCTGCCCTTCCTGGGCCGAGGCCAGCAGGCCAGGAAGCCAGAAATAGTGTAACCTCTGCTGGGGTCGGCAAATGGACACTTCCAGCTGCTGCCGTCGCTGCCCCTGCCGGCGAGCCTGCTCGGGTTGGGGTGGCAGTTGGTCGAAGGGTGGGGACGGAATTAAGTCCCACCAACGCGGGGCCAGCGAGGGGTGGAGGAGTGGGTGGCAAAGCAGGGGGCCTGCCGAGGCCACTTCTCCCTTCTTTGCGATTCCTTCCATTGGGTTTTTAGTGAGCAAAACTCCCTGGCGCCGCGCTCTCCCGGCACCCCGCACTCTGTGCGCAGCCACCCACCTGGACTCGCGTACTCCTTGCGGCTTTAAAAAACGTTTTTTTTCTTTGCTTCAAAGAGAGAGGACACAAGGACGCACAGAGACCTGCCTGCCCAGGATCTCTCTCCCCAGAGGCCTCTGCGGATGTTAGAGAAACAAACCCCACTCAGTAGGCGTTTATAGGGTGAGCAGTTCAAGGGCCAGAAAGTGGAAGGCTGCCCCTGTCCCTCCTCCCCTTCCTGTTGGGACGAATCTTTTTGTTCCCCGAAAGTTTACATGGTATGCATTTCTTTTTTTAAAAAAAAATATTTTTATTAGTTGTTGGTGGACTGTTTATTCATATGTGCTGCTGAGAATCGGACCCAGTGCCTCCCATGGGCCAGGCAGGCCCTCCACCACTGAGCCCCAGCCCGGCACTACACGGGGTTCGTGTCTGCCTGGCCTCTGCCCCATCACCAGCAATGGCCAGAGAGCCACCACCTAGACATTTCTCCAGGCTTCCTTCTCTACCTGATTCCTGTCCCTGATCACGCATCCCATGCCCATCTGCTGCTTGCCTGGCGTCTCTCTAGGTGAGAAGCTGGTGACTGTCTCTGGGTGAAGCGCCTCTTTGTGGCCCTCCCGCCACCTGTCCACTGGTGGGCTCCGCCACAGCTTCCTTTGCCTCAGTCTGTCCTTGGCCAGCAGTGGGGGTCCCATGATAGCCATGTGGGCCTCGGGGTGGTGGCCCTTCCCCTGCTCTGGTGGCCCGTGTGCAACCTCCTAGCCCTGGGGGTGCCCTCTGGAGGTGGGGGCCATTCCTAGGGGTGGCAGCAGCTGACATCATGGAGTGAGTGGCCTTGGTTTGATGTGCGTACGGCAGGGCCGGACTCTGGCCTGTGAAAGATGACCCTGGGCCAGCAGTGAGCCGGCTGCCAGGCCGGAGTCTCCGGTGTGGCCCACGCTTCACCTGAGCACTTCAGGTGCCCAGAACCTTCTTTGCAAAGTCTGGCGGGTGCAGGGCCAGGAGAGGCACTTCCACTGTCTTGCCGAGGGGTCTGGGCACGCTCTCTGCAGACCCCAGTGCTCCCGTGGCCCCAGCCCCTCGAGGGCTCCGACCCCGGGGCCCAGGCCTGACCAGCTCCGGGAGCGCAGCCTCTCCCTGCTCAGGGCCCCTCCGCGGCGCGGTCCCCTTCACGTGAGGATTCTGGTTGTGTCTTGGCAGCGGGCCCTGCAGAACAAGGGGTGCGAGAGCCAGAGTCAGGGGACGAAAGAAGACAAGCTCCTGAAGAGGCCGGTGCCGGCCCCCAGGCGGGACCGGGAGGCCCTGGAAGCTGGTGGCACCATGAATGTAGAGAAAACAGGTAAAGGAGGTCCGCCCTGGGAGCAGGAGCACCCCGGCCAAGCTAGCAAGCAGGGAGGCTCTCCTGGAGGCCCAGCTGTCCCCACACCCTGACCTCCCCAGCTGGAGGTAGCCCAGCCAGATGCTGGCCGCTCCTGAATCCAGGGACAGCGTCCGGTCTCTCCTTTCCCTCGCCACCCTCCTTCCCGTGCTACCCAGTGACAAGAGGCCTGGCCAGCGGGGGGCTGGGGTTGAATATCCCTGCGTTTTGTCTTTCCCCAGCGCCTGTCAAAAGCAGGGCGCAGGGTGCAGCCTCCCAGACGCCACTGCCCGCAGGGAGGCTTCTCGAATCCTGGGCCCACGGGGTCTCAGGCTGCTAGGACAGGGCTCTGAGTCCACCACCTCCAGTGGAGGAAAAGGAGCTGGTGGAGTCCCGCCGTGGCACCTGGAGGCTGGTTCTGGAACATTCCGAAGGCCCTCCCCCTTTGTAGTCTGAGGGCTGGTGCTGGGGTTTCCAGCAGGAAGCCAGAGCCCAGTGACCACTGGGAAAGAGCATCTTGCAGGAGCCCCAGGGGAAGGCCGAGAGCGTGGGGAGGGAGAGGAGCTGGCCTTCCATTGTTTCTTCTTGTCACCGAGGGCTGTGTGTCTGGACTTGCCGGGTGCTGGCAGGAGCTCTCCCTGCACCGAGGCTGTGCTAGGGCCAGGTTCACCTCTGGGCCCAAGCCCTCCTGTGATCCGGGCAGGCGTGGGCCTGGCTGAGTGGCCTCCAGGGCCCGGGGAGCGGCGTCTCCCAGTTAGGTGGGCTTTCCTCCCCGGGCAGAGCGGCGCTGATGAGAGGAAGGCCAGGTCCAGCTGAGCGTTAGGAGTGGCTTTTGGCAGGTGGCCAGGGCTGGGCGCACAATCCCCAAGCTCTGTGATGACAGCACTTAAAAAACTGACCTTCCAAGTCGGCGTCCAGCCTCGGGAGCAGGCCTGCTCTGCCCGGGGCCCCTTTGATCTATCCAGTCCTCCCTCTTACCCGTCCTCGGGCCTCCCTTAGACTCTCCCTTCCTTCTTCCCGTCCAGGCCTCCAGGCTCCTTGCCCAAGGTGGCCTTCTGGGTCAGGCCCGTTGTCCCCTTCTCCCATAGGAAGACCCTGCAGAGTCCCTCCCACACACCTCTCAAGCGGCAGCACCGGCTCTGGGGCCTGAGTCCAGCGTGTTCCTGCCCCACCGCAGCAGGCTGTGGGGGGCGGAGGGCCACGCCGGTCACATGCCTCCCGTGGCAGCCCCGTGTTTGGGCCTGGAAGCATCTGTCCACCCTCACTCTCTCTAGAACAGATCAAAGAGGCTCGGCCAGCTCTGTGTGACTTGCATGCTGGGTCACATGCAGGCTACACAGCCAGGGTCACTGTCCAGCCAGGGTCACTGTCCAACTGGCCAGTCCCAGCCCTCTGGAAGGAGCCAGGCTCTCGCCCATCTGGCCCTCGGTGCCAGTGCTGAGAGGGTTCTGCCCAGCTGGGAGCCACCCCGCCCCGCCCAGTCCACTGGCTGCTCGTGGGCAGTGAGGCCCTTGCTGTGACTCGGTCGAGGCTGCCGGGGAGGGGGCAACAGGAGGCTTCCGCCATAGTGTCCGGGGGCTCCTTCACCCCTGGAGAGCCCAGAAGCCCTGGCGCCCAGGGTTGAGGTGGAGGGCCACTCCCTGGCCAGCAGGTGTCCTCTTCTCTTCAGTCCTGGACACTTTGCAGGACCCTGTTTGGGCCTCGAGGAGGCAGATCCCCTGCGCCTCGCCGTCTCCCCTGTGCCCGCTCCCTGCCCGCCTCGCCAGGGCTGGTTCCTGGTGCCCTGCCAGTGAGCTGTGACCAGCACCAGGCCTGTTAGCAGGTCAAGGCCTTGACCCACGTCTGTCCTTCACCGTCTGCCTGTCTGTCTCTGTGTCGTCCCTGGTGACGGGACAGTGGAAAGCTGTGGGAGGAAGAGGCATCGGGCTGAAGCCCCGCCCAGCTGGGTGTCCGTCCCTTTCTGGTGCCCATGTGGTCCCCACATGTAGGTGGCCTTGGAGCTGGCCTGGCTGACCCCCTTGCACACTCCGCTCTTGCTTCCTTTGGTGACAGCTTCCCGCGGGGCCCCGCTGGGCCCCTCTTCTCTTCTACACTCTGGAGGGAGTTTGAGGTTTAGGAAGCCGTTTCTCCTGGGGACCGTGTCTTTCTAGCAGCGGTTGCCTGCAGGCTGGCGGAGGGGCGGTGTCTTGGTTCAGGCCGGGCATCTCCAGAAGCTTCCCAATGAAGTGACCTCTGGGAGCCTGCAGGCCCCCTGCTGCCTCAACGCTGTCGCCTCCCTTGCCCCCGTCACCCCTGCTGGCGTCCCTGTCCCACCGCCGATGGCCAGCCCCTGCCCTCCTTTGTCCCTGGCACAGTGGGCCCTCTCCTGGGCCAGGCGGGCCCAGCTGCCCGGCTGATGAGCTGCTACTTTGCTTGTAGGTGGGCGGCTCTTTGGCAGCGGGAGGTGCTCCAGCCTGTCGGGGTCTCCGGGCGCAGCCCCCGTGGTGCATAGGATGGTGGAGGCCATGTCCCCGCTTCAGGAGGAGCTGGTGGTCCTACGGGAGAGGCTGGCCCTCCACGACAGTGACCAGCAAGCCACGTCCGCCCAGCTGCAGAACCAGGTACCCGGGGAGGCAGGGACAGCAGAGGTCCACTGTGGAGCGAGCGTGGAGGGCGCTGGAGGGAGACGGGGTCTTCTGAGCAGCCTCGGGGCGTGCTGGAGGGCAGGGTGCAAGAGCCAGAGGACTGGGCCTCCCTCCCGGCCTTCCTCCTGCCCGTCGCCCGTGGGGCCAGGTGTCCCCTTCAGGAAGTGCTGTCCAGGAGGACCAGCGACTGACCCCTGGCCCTCTTCTTCCCTCTCTTCTTCCCCACTTCCATGTGGGCCCCTTTCCTGGGGCTCGGCTCCCCGCTTCTGGCTCAGCACCTGTCTCCGAGGCCATCTTAGCCCTGCCGGCTCACCCGCCGTCCCCGGCCCCAGGTGTCAGTGGCCTGGCCTGGCTCTCGGGCTCTTGGGCTCCCGGCCTGGGCTCTCTCTCGACAGCGCTGCCCTCAGGTAGGGCCACACTCTTCCTCTATCCTGTGATCTAACAGGTCACCTAGGCGGGTGGCCATCTTTTGCGGCTCTTCTTGAGAGCTCTCTCTTCTGCCCACCCGCCCCTTATGCGTTGGGCAGGCCTCCCTGTGGCCTCCCTGTGTCCCCTTGTGCCCTCACCTCATGGCTTTTCTGTCGTGGCCTGTCTGTCCCGGTGACAGGAGGCTCCTGCTCTGCATTCCTGTGCCCACTCGTGCCTGCCTGTCCTCCTCGTGGTTCTGTGAGCCTTTCCTACCAGGCTGGGCATAGGGGATACTCGGGGACAGGCAAGCCCCTGCCCTGGGAGGCTCTGTCCTGGAGGCAACATGCTGAGGTCAGGAACAGCCTCCTGAGAAGGCAGTTCTGGAGCTGAGGTCAGGCACAGAGCCGAGGGAAGTGCCTTCTGGACCGAGAAAACAGCCAGTGCAAAGGGACTGTGGCAGCAGGTGGAGGGAGGCTGGAAGTGCTGCCCTGGGGGCTGTGGTTGGGTCAGGGCCCACCCCGGAGGTCACACATCTGGCCCAAGGCAAGAACTCAGTAGCAGCACCTCCCTCCCTGGCTTAGGTTGACTAGACACCACTTTTCAAACAAGTTTTTTTTATTTTTAATTTTTAAGAGCTTTGTGGAGACATAATTCATAGACCATTAAATCCACCCCTTGAAGGAGGTCAGTTTGGTGGTTGTAAGTATGTCAGGATGACGATGCACCCGTCACCCCTAAATTTAAGTCATTTTCATCACCCTAAAAAGACCCAGTGACAGTCATTCCCTGCTTCCCCTCCCCGAGCCCTGGGCAGCCATAATCCACTGTTTTGATGCTTCTCCTTTTCTGACGTTTCGTAGGATCAAAATAACATGGGGCCTTGTACCACTGGAAACACGTTTTTAAAAACTCTCTTTCCGTTTAGTTGGCAAAACCGACTGACTGTTGAAGCGGGCACGTGGAAGGAGAGGGCCCTGGCTTCTGGTGTCCTTGGGCCCCAGTTCAGAACGGTCCCCATCTCTGCTCAGGCTTTACCTGTGAAGCTTCTGATTCCCAGCACTTTTCTGGAAATTCCTCAGGGACATCCCTGAAACCCCAGGTCTCTGGGCTGCTTTCTGGAGGGTCTGACCCCAGGAGACAGGCCCCGCCTGGGCCTGGAGCCAGGGTCAAGCCCTGGTGTGGCCCTGCTCATTAGCCATATGACCTTGGGCTACTTAAGGACCACTCTGAACCTCGGCCTCCTCGTCTGTAAAGCGCCTGTAGCCACAGCACCTGGGTGAGGTGACCCCCGCGCGTTACTGGGGTTGCCGTCACTGTCACGGCCATCACCATCACTGGGGTGCGTGTTGGGTTTGGAGTCCTGGGAGCAGAACCCTCGTCCTGGCTGTGCTACTCCAGCTGGGCCTCCGCAGGCAGCCACCTGAGCCTTCCTGTCCCCGGCTCTGAACGAGCTCGTACTTGTGGCTCTGTGGTTACTGGGTGGGTCAGCTGCGAGGGAGGATGGAAACCAGCAGGCGCACTGTGGAGCGTGACGCCGCCCGGGCGCCTGTCCTGCCAGGTCTGGTCCCCCGCGGCCTGGCTGTGGTCGGACGCCCATTTCCACGTCCCTGAGTGCTCTTCCCTGAGGAAAGGCCACGTGGGGTACCCGCCGCCCGGTTCTCAGTGCTGGTCCCCGGCCTCGTCCAGACTCGCCCCTGCCTGTGCGCTGACTCTCAGTGTGTTCTACAGGCCACCGTGGGGACTCTGCCAGGCAGCCAGGTCCCAGCTGCAGCCCAGGTCACCACAGAGCCACAGGGCCACCTCAGTCCTGCCCCTGGGGACCTCAGCTCTTCCTCCTGTGCAGTGGGCATGATGACAGCACCCACCACAGGACTGAGGGGGCCAGGTGACATTCTCACCAAGCCTCTGGCCCCACTGGGAGATGACGGGACACATGTGCCTGCTACTGTCACTCTTGGCACCTGGGCTGGTCTGGCCTCTTTGTCACTGTCACATGTGGTGTTTCTGATAATGAGAGCACTCGGGACAGGGGGCTGCAGTCCCCAAGGCACCCAGAAGGTCCAGGTCACAAAGGCCACTGGTCCTGCTCTGGTGACTGGTCCCAAGGTCCCTATTGCGTGTTGGCAGCCACAGCCCCAGGCCATGTCCCGTGGCCTCCCGCTCTCCTGTCCTCTTATGGACGTCTCTGGAGCCGTGGCTCGTGGTCCCCCAGGTTCCCCAGGTCGCCCCCGCCTCTCCTCCCTGCACCCTGAGGCAGAGCCATCCAGGACGTCCTCAGGGTTTGCAGACCAGGAGACCAGCGCTGGGTCGCCACTGTGTCCTGTTTGTCCTGTTTTTAAAAACCCATTTTAAGCCAGGTACAGTGGCGCACGCCTGTAATCCCAGCAGCTGGGGAGGCTGAGGCAGGAGGATGGCGAGTCCAAAGCCAGCCTCAGCAATGGTGAGCGCTAAGCCACTCAGTGAGGCCCTGTCTCTAAACCAAATACAAAATAGGGTTGGGGTGGGGCTCAGTGGTCAAGTGCCCCTGAGTTTGACTCCTACTACCAAAAAACAAACAAACAAAAAACCCAATTTTAACCATTTTTCAAAACTCGCAGTCGAGCGCACGTAGGGTAAAAACTGCTGCCGTGACCATGTTGAAGTGCAGAGCGTCCACATCCACGGCAGCCATCAGGTCCCTCATTCTGCCTGGAGGTCACTCGGTGCCTCCTGAGTGGGGTCCCAGCGGTGACTGGCTCCCCCCACTTGGCATCATGTCCTCAGGACTCCTCCTGTCGCATGGGGGCCAGATTGTCCTTTTACAGGCGGAAGACTCTTCCTTGTGTAAACACACGACATTGCTTGTTCATGTCGTTCACCCTTGAACTCATCGGTGGGGTGCTGCACCTTCTGGCGATTGTGAATAATGCTGCTGTGAATGTGGGTGTGCAAACTTCCTCAGGTCCCTGCCTCAATTCCTTTGGGAATAGACTCAGGATTGGAATTACTGGATCAGATGGTAATTGCATTGCTAAATTTTCTGAGGCACTGCCCTACTGGGTTCCATAGCGGCTGTACCATCTGACCTTCCTCCTAGCCACACACAAGGGTTCTGGCCCCCCCCCCCCACAGGCTCACCAACACTTATTTTTGTTACAATTTATAATTTTTTTTGGTACTGGAGATTGAACCCAGAGGTACCTAATCACTGAGCCACATCCCCAGCCTTTTTATATTTTATTTAGAGACAGGGTCTCACTGGGTTGCTTAGGGCCTTCATAAGTTGCTGAGGCTGGCTGCAAACTCTGATCCTCCTGCTCAGCCTCTGGAACCCTGGGATTACAGGCGTGCAGGCTGTATCTATATACCAGTGCTGTGAAGTGGCATCTCACTGTAGTTCTGATTTGTGCATCCCTAGTGCTTAGTGATGCTAGCATCTTCTCCTGGCATTTCGGCCAGTTGTGTATCATCTTTGGAGAAAATGTGTAACCTAGTTCTTCGCCTCTGTTTTAATCAGCTTGTTGAGTTGTAAGAGTTCATGATGCAGGTTTATCTCCCATTGCCTTTTTATTCCATTAGTATACTTTGTTATGCAAAATTTTTACTTTATTATTAGTATTATTATTAGTAGTATAGGAATTGAACCCAGGGGCATTTAACCACTGAGCCACATCCTCAGCCCTTTTTACTTTTTATTTTGAGTCAAAGCCTTGCTAAGTTGCGGAAGCAGGCCTCAAACTTGCCATCCTCCTGCCTCAGCCTCCCAAGTCCCTGGGACTACAGGCATGTACCACCATGCCCTGCAAAGTTTTAAATTTTTTTGAAGACCAACTTATCTGTTTTTTCTTTCATGACTTGTATTCTTTCTAGGGTCAAATCCAAGAAATCATTGTGAAATTCCAGGCCGTGAACTTTCTTCTCAGAGTGTTGCAGTTTTATCTGTGATATTTAGTTGGTCCACTTTGAGTTAATTTTTGTCTGTAAAGTCCAGCTTCATTCTTCTGCATGTGGACATGCCTGCGGGCTTCCAGCACCACTCGCTGAGAGGACTGACCTTTACCATTGAATGGTCTTGGCGTCTTGTCAGAGCTTAACTCTGAGTCCTTTGTTCCTTTCCAATTGTCTTTAAACGTGATGGCCAAGGCCACCCTGCTTTGATCACCGCAGCTCTCCATTTTGAAGTCGGGAATGTGAGACTTCCACCTGATGGTTCTTTTCCAAGATTATTTTGTCTGTTTTGTGTCCCTTGAGATTCCCTATGCATTTTAGGGTGAGTTTATTATTATTTGTTTAAAAATGTCGTTGGAATTTCAAGGGTTGCAGTGAACCTGTAGATGACTTTGGATACATCGGAACCTTGACAATAGGAAGTCTCCAGGATGGCATGTCATTTCTTGGTGTCTTCTTTCATCTCTGCTTTTTTTTTTCCCCCCTTCAGGGCTGGGGACCGCACTCAGGCGCTGCTCATGCCAAGCTGTGCGCCAAGTCTCAGCCCCAGCCCTGCTTTAATCTCAGCAAACTTCACCTCCTTGATTCATTCCTAGCTATTTTATTCTCTTGGATGCTGTTGTAAACGCAATTATTTTCTTCTTTTCCTTGTTGAATTGTGATAGAGACACAACTGATTTTGTGGCCTCTCCGCGTGGACATTCCCGACACGGCAGTCACTGCCCGTAGTTGGCTGGCAGCTCCCGTCTTTGGAGGTGCTGTGAGCCCCTTCCACACCTCCTAACCCACACCCCTTGTCTCACACACACTGTACCAGCCTCACCCACAGGCCCTGCTCCGCCCGGCCCCTCATGGATTCAGCATTTGTCCTCCATGTATTTACTGAGCACCTACTATGTGCACTGGGCACCACAGATAAAAAATCCCTGACTTCACAGACCTTTTGTTCTAATATACTAGATATATAGGTTGATAATTCGGAATCAAATAATCCAAAGTTCTCCTGAATCCAAAACATTTGAGAATCAACATCATAGCACAAGTCTGGTGGCTCAGTGTACACAAATTTTCCGTATGCAAAATTATTAAAAATATTGTATAAAATTATCCGTAGGCTATGTATAAGTCATGGGTGAAACATTAAAGGAACTTTTTTAGGGGGTGGGTATGAGTATTGACCTCAGGGGCAATCACCCACTGAGCCCCATCCCCAACCCTGTTTTGTATTTTATTTAGAGACAGGGTCTCACTGAGTGGCTTAGCACCTCACTTTGGCTGAAGCTGGCTTTGGACTCGCCATCCTCCTGCCTCAGCCTCCCGAGCTGCTGGGATTACAGGCATGAGCCACTGCACCCAGCATACGAATTTTGTATTTAGAGTTGGATCCCATCCTCAAGGTGTCTTATTACATATATGCAAATAATCCAAAATCTGAAATTAAAAAATGTGGTCTTAAGCACTTGGGATAAAGTACACTTAACCTGTAACGGGGTGCTGGGCCCTGTTGTAAGTGGTTCATGGTGTATGTTTTCTCATTTAATATTCAAGACAACCGTGGTGAGGTAGCCCGACCATAAGATGAGGAAAATAAAGAGAACAGAGAAGTAAAGACGCCCCTCCAAGGTCACCTGAGGTCACCTGCATGTGAGAGGGGTCTGGGTTAGGACCTGGGCAGTCTGGCTGGAGAATCCATTGTTCTCGATGCTATTCCTATTCCCCGGGGGAAAAGGACTTGGATGGGCCTCCAGGCTGCTCCCTTGAGGCCCTCCCAGCTCCGCCACAGCCAATAGCAGGTGACCACGCTGCCCAGGCAAGGAGAGGAGGGCGGTAGGGAGGTATTGAGCAGGCTGCCCGCCTCAGGAGCTGACAGCTGATAAAACAGACCAGGGCGCCCCCGCCCCCGTCCATTCTGCCATGACGTGTGAATGCAGGTTTCTGTTAGGTCAGGAGAAGGCCTGGCTTCCTGGGCCCTCAGCAGGGCAGGGCCGAGGCCCCTGCACCGAGACTCGTCTTCTCTAGCTGGGAACCACCAGGAAGGGGGTGACACCTGCCCAGGCTGGCCCTGGTGAACTCTGAGTTGACCCCTGGGCTGGCCTGGGACACTTTCCGCAACCTGGTTGGGAGGCTGTGCTCCCCTGTGACTTGGCCTTTGGCTCAGGCGTGTGCACAATGCCTCTTGATGTCACTGTCAGTATTTATTGAGCAGCTACTTAGGTTGGCCCCACACAGGGCGTGGCCCTCCCCTCTTAGGCTGACCGCCACGGGCGGCCATCGCTGGCTCCCCCCTCCATGCCCCACTGCTCCCAGCCCTGTCTCCTGTCTGGTCCTCTGGGTGCCCTGCCTGCCTCTGACTTCTTGTTCACTTTCCCTAACCCTGTGAGACTTGCCCGCTGTGCCTTCAAGTCCAGGAGGAGGTTGGTCTTGCCCCCAGCCCTCCTGGAGCGAGCCCTCAGCGTGGAGGGCCAGGGTCCCCCTCCTGGGCTGGTGTTCTTGTTTCTCAGCCCCTGATGGAGCTGGCCTGCAGGGGCCATGGAGTCATTTAGTTGCTTGGGCCTGAGCAGGCTGAGTCACCTTGGCCAGGGTGCCTGAAGGGGTCAGTCCACCTGCTCTACCGCAGGCTATTTGTCCCAGGAGGTGACTTAGCATCTGACATCTCTGACCAAACCAACCCTCCTCCCCTGTTAAGGGCCAGCCCCCCCCATCACAGCCCCACCTCCTGGATGCTCCTGGCTGATTCCAGAGCCAGGAGCACCCAGGCCCCATTGTGATGCCAGAAAGGCCCAGCATGAGGGGCAGGCCGGGAGGGGCACCTGTCACCCAGCCCACCTGCAAAACCCTCTTTCAAGGCATCAGCGGGCCCGAGTGCAGGCTTCGAGATGGTTGAGGTCAGAGCACAGCCCTGGGGAGGGGAGTGGCGGGGGGGGGGGTGCCTGGACCTTTGCATAAGCTGGACGTAGACCCAGGACCTAGTCCAGGGTGAGGGGAGTCCAGGGAACACACTTGAGACGTTCCGCAGTGTCTAATGCTGAGAAGCATCAGGGGTGGTCGGCTATAGCTCTTCAGCCCGAGACCCCTCCCACCTTGGAATCTTGCTTGGGCTTTTCATGTTGACAGCTGCGTTGGGCAGAACTGGGGGGGTGTGGGGGGAGAGGGGGTTGAGAAAGGGGCCGGGAGGGGGCTTCGTGGTCGCCGTGTGAAGCCCTGGCTTCCATCCGCAGCAGGGTGATGAACAAGACAAAACCACCCCTTGGTCAGAGACTCCAGGTCCTCTCTGGGCTTGTGTGGGCAGCAGGCAGGAGGCAGCCGAGAGGCGGCACTGAGAACTCTTCAAACTTCACACAAACTCTAGAACAGAATCCCGGCCAGCGGCGCTGTGCACTGAGACGCAGACGCTGTCATTTACCCAGCGCTGCCCCGATGGCGGCCATCAGGCTATTCCCCGTGCATCACTTAGGATAGAAAAGCTGCCTCATGTGACCTGCCCCTCGACCCCTTCTGGGATCTGAGCCCCTCCACATTCCAGGCTCCCAGCCCCAGAAAGGGGACACTGGGGGCGGGCAGAGGTGGCGCCAGCTTTGCCTCCCTGCCTGGCCCATGACCCAGCACATCGCTAGGTAGGACCATGCTGGAGGTGGTGACAGCGTGACAGATTTGGCCCTCAGGTTACCTGCATGTCCCCCAGGTGGCCATGGGCAGGCTGGTAGGATCGTCCACCCCCAGCTGGGTCTTGTGTCTGAGGACACCCCTCCCACCCAGGAGCCAGCAGGGCTTTTTTTGAAGAAGGGGCAGATCTCCTGGCCCATTCCTCCCAGAGCCACCTGGAAGCAGAGGCCCAGCTGACTCCGGCCCCAGGAGGCAGTGATGTCCAAGGTCAAGGGCTGCCCACAGGCTTGATGAACAACAGTATAAAATGGAGCAGCTCTGCACACCCCCAAATCCAATGTCAGCCTCCCTTGAGAGAAAAGGGAGTGTGTCCCCCTGGTTGAGGGACATGGGGAGCACATGTGGCTGCCTCCTTGGGTGGCTCTTGGGCATCTGATCCCACACAGCCCCTCACCCGCCTTACCGGGCTGGCTCCTGTAGGTGATGGACATTGTCACCTGTCATTTAGTCATTGAAACCCAGTGTTTTTGTGGCCAGCTTATGTAAACCTCCTGAACCACCAGAGTAAGCCTGACTCTCACTGAGCCTTTTCCCAGGTGAGACGTGGTCAATTACAGAATGTTCTGGAAGAGAACCCAAATACACTCTGGTGAATGCTGGTGCTGAGGTCTTTTCTGCCTGTTACTTCCTGAGAAGAGGCTCCTGGGGGTGGGAGGCTCCTGCTGCAGGCCCAGGGTCTGAGGTGTCTGAGGCCTGTGGGTCAGCTGGGGACAGGGAAGGGTCACCGTCCTGGGGTCTGTGCTCTAGGGTCTGGCCCCCTGTGGCTCTAGCCACTGTTGGGTGCCATTGCTTGCTGATGGGGTGAACACCCCCCTTTCTCTCTCAGCTTTGGTCAGCCACGGCTCTCCTGCGAAGGAGATTGGGGTCAGGGGCGGACACAGGTGCCAGGCGTGCTTTGGCTGTGGGCAGACCTGGCTCCACAGGCCAACCTGCCAGAAACTACTCGAAGGAGAAAATTCTGAGCACTAGGCAGGGATGAATCCATGGCTTGCGGGGCCTGGGCTTGATATGATTTGAGGGCCCTTTTAAAATTGCAGACATGAGTACAGGGGTCTGTGCCAAGCAGGGATCCCGTGTCTGTCTCAGAGCTGCTTCTGGGGCGGGCCCGGCCCAGCGAGTGACGCCTCTGTGCCTCAGCCTTTTCATTTTGGTACCAGGATTGGACCCAGGCACTTAACCACTGCTCACCCTCTCCTCCGTGCTGTCTCCAGGGCTCTCTTAACCACTGAGCCACAAAGAGCTGGGGAGCTCTTTTCTACTTTATTTAAAGACAGGGTCTTGCTGAGTTGCTTAGGGCCTCCCTGCCCCTCGGCTGCACTTCAGACCTCCCTGAGGCGCCTGGGCTGGCCTGGCCCTGCGGTGACAGGCGCGGAAGGCTGTGGCGCAGGCCAGCTTCCTCCTACTTGGAGTCACAGGCCTGGCCTGAGGCTGTGGCTCGGGAGGGGCTGGGAGAAGCCTGGTCGGTCCTTGAACTGGTGCACAGGAGAGAGGACGGGAGGGCTGAGGTGAGGCCCCTGGTTCTGTGCCCGCAGGTGGAAAATCTGAAGGAGAAGCTCATCAGCCAGGCTCAGGAAGTGAGCCGACTGCGCTCGGAGCTGGTGAGGCTCTGCAGGGCCACCCGGGGGCTGTCCTGTGCACCCCTGCCGTCCCCCAGGGGTGCGGCCCTGTCACCCAGCCCTCACGTCCCACCCAGAGACTACTGCCATAGCTGGTGGCCCTTGTGTGGCTCCTGAGCGGAGGGGGCTGGTTCTTCTTGGCTGACGTAAAACAGGAGTGTGAACTCTGTGCATAAATGTGACTTCTTGTTACTTTCACACTCAGGAAAGTAGGCGGAGGGGCGGGGCAGCGGGGCCCTGCTCACCCCTCTCCTCCCGCTGTCTCCAGGGCTCTCTGGGCGCCTGCTCTCGTCCCTGTCCCTTTTCTCCCTCCTCCGTCGCTCCTCGCCTCTCTCCCTCTCCCTGCCCTTGCACGCCTTCGGTCTGCCCTTCTTGCTGTGCCACCTGTCCATGCCACATGCCCCCCCTGGGCCCTGGCTCTCCGCAGGGAGGCACCGACCTGGAGAAGCACCGGGACCGGCTGATGGTGGAGAATGAGCGGCTGAGGCAGGAGCTGCGGCGCTGCGAGTCGGAGCTGCAGGAGTGGCGGGCCCAGCCGGCAGGACCCTGCCCGGGCTGCGAGCACAGCCAGGTGAGGCGCTCGCCCGGGGCCAGGCTCAGCTCCCCAGGAGGAACCCAGTGCTCAGAGTGCCCCTGACCCCCGCAGGAGAGCACCCAGCTCCGTGACAAGCTCTCCCAGCTGCAGCTGGAGGTGGCGGAGAACAAAGGCATGCTGTCGGAGCTGAACTTGGAGGTGCAGCAGAAGACGGACCGGCTGGCCGAGGTGGAGCTCAGGCTCAAGGACTGCCTGGCCGAGAAGGCCCAGGAGGAGGAGCGGCTGAGCCGGCGCCTGCGTGACAGTCACGAGACGATTGCCAGCCTGCGGGCCCAGTCCCCGCCTGTCAAGGTGAGCCACCAGCGGGCAGCCAGGAGCAGTACCCTGTACAAGCTTGGGCCCGTGGCACCAGGGCTGGGCTGGCATGCAGGAGCAGCGGGTCCTGGGGAACAGGTGCGAGTCACCAGAGGCATCCTCCACTCGGTGCTCTCTGGTCCCTTCCCTCTGCGAATCAGGGCCAGGCCCAGTTAGGTAGCCAGCAAGCAGTGGCAGAGGTGCCCCCTGTATGCCAGGCCCAGATAAAGTGTAGCTTCTCGATTCTGCACCTTCCCGAGTGCTCCGGGCCAGGCTGGGCTGCGGCCAGGTCACTGTGCAGGATTTGTTGAGACGAGAAGATTCCACGAAGCCAGATTAGCAGCAGTCTGCAAAACTGGGACCTTGCAGCTCCTGTCATTTCTGTGGGGAGTCTTGAAGAGACATCCCTGAGGCTCCCCAGTGGCCAGCTGTGTCTCAGGTACCCACACGCCTCCATGTGCCCATCCTCCCCTCACCTTGCAGTATGTCATCAAGACAGTGGAGGTGGAGTCACCCAAGACCAAGCAGGCCCTCAGTGAGTCCCAGGCCCGGAACCAGCACCTACAGGAGCAGGTGGCCATGCAGCGGCAGGTGCTGAAAGAGATGGAGCAGCAGCTGCAGAGCTCACATCAGCTGACCGTGCAGCTCCGGGCGCAGGTGTGTGGGCCATGGGGTGCATGCTGGGCCAGGCCCTCTGTACAGTGGAGGGGTTAAGTATTGGAGGCTCCCAGAGACTGGGGGGTCCAGTCCCTCATTTCTTTGATGGCCAAGTGGCCAAGGGCAAGTTCTCTGTTTTTTCGTCTGTAACATGATCTGGTCAAAGACCCTCCTGCAACAGTGGGGACCCAGCATCATATCACAGCCTGTCTTTACTGCAGCCCAGCCCAGCACCTGTGCTGTGCCTGGACCAGGTTGGTGCAGGGGCTGATGCAGGAGGTGGTAGTGCATGGAGCTCACAGCCCTGTGTGGAGGAGAGAGGCAGCCATGCTATCCCTCCCTGGGAGTGGGGTTCACTGCTTGGAGCGTGGCTTCTTTCCTGGTACCTGCCTCCCCCATTCGTGACCACTGAGCCTTCTTGGCCTGGTTGCCAGATCGCCATGTATGAGTCGGAGCTGGAGCGGGCACACGGGCAGATGCTGGAGGAGATGCAGTCCCTGGAGGAGGACAAGAACCGGGCCATCGAGGAGGCCTTTGCCAGAGCCCAGGTGGAGATGAAGGCCGTGCACGAGAACCTGGCAGGTGAGCCTGCTCCCTGGGCCCCATCCATCCCACGCCTTGGCCTCATACCGTCAGCCTCATACCTCTCATGTCCCCATAGGTGTCCGCACCAACCTGCTGACACTGCAGCCGGCGCTGAGGACCCTCACCAACGACTACAACGGGCTCAAGCGGCAGGTGCGCGGCTTCCCCCTGCTGCTGCAGGAGGCCCTCAGGAGCGTGAAGGCCGAGGTGAGCGAGGCCTGGAATCTGGGCAGATGTGCTGCACATGTTCCTTTATCTGCTATGTTTAATTTTGCGTGTGGTTTTGGTGGCTGAACCCAGGGCTTTGCACACACAGACAAGCGCTCTGCCACCGAGCCAACCCCCGAGGCAGTTCTCTACTGCTGTACTTGTGCACTATGGGAATAGGGCCACCTGCAGGCTGGGCCTTTTTTTTCTTTTACACAATGCCTTTATTTTCTGCAGTGCTGAGGATTGAACCCAGAGAGCTAGGCAAGTGAGCCACGATCTCAGCCCCATGCTGGGCCTCTTGTGGCCTTTGGATCCTTGAATTTGTACAACAGCTCTTTCCAGAGTCCATACATAGAAAATAGTTCTCCTTTAAAAAAAAATTCTGTAGCTGGGCGTGATGGTGCATGCCTGTAATCTCAGCCACTCGGGAGGCTGATCGCAAGTTCAAAGCCAGCCTCAGCAATGGCAAGGTGCTAAGCAACTCAGTGAGACCCTGTCTCTAAATAAAATACAAAATAGGGCTGGGGATGTGGCCCAGTGTTCGAGTGCCCCTGAGTTCAATCCTCAGTAGCCCCCACCCCCAAAGTTTTGAACACATGGACATGGTGAACAGCCACAAGCCCTGCAGAGGGGCGTGGAAAGGAAGGGGCTCTTGGCCACTGCATCCCCTTGCCGGGGGCCACCTGTCTCCCTGCCCTTCCCCCGGATGTTCTGAGCATCATGAACAGGTACATGGTCAGCATATGTACTCCCTTTACCTGATGGGGGACATTACTGGACAGGGGATGTACTGGACATGTGGCTTTATATACCATGGCGATCTTTCCCTATCAGCTCCTGCAGATTTCTGGGTTCTACGTGTTACCCCCACTTTACAGATGAGAAGAGTGAGACTCAAAGGCCTTGGTCCAGTTGCCTCAGGCCCCCCGCTACTTGGGTGGAGCTGGAACTTGAGCCTAGCTGACTCTAGTAGTGCTAGTGCTGTGGAGGGAGGCGACTTCCGCTCTTTGCTTGTCCCCAGGGTAACCTTGAGCTATTGGCTTAGCCTTGGGGGCCCATGGCATGGGATGCTGGCAGTACCTCTCCGAGGGGTCATGGGAAATCGGACATGTGTCAAGCCCAGTCCAGGGCAGCACTCGGCTCCAGCTGGGCTGAGCCGTTAGTGGGGCAAGGCTAATGGAGTCAGCCCCCTCAATGGTGCGTGTCCCTCCAGATCGGCCAGGCCATCGAGGAGGTCAACACCAACAACCAGGAGCTGCTGCGCAAGTACCGCCGGGAGCTGCAGCTGCGCAAGAAGTGCCACAACGAGCTGGTGCGGCTGAAAGGTGACTCCCGGGCACGTGGGCTGGCGTCCCGGCATACGGTCCCCGAACTGGCTCAGCGGCCACCCTCCAAGCTCTGCCCTGTCCTCAAGAGCCACTGAAATCTTCTCTCTGTAGATAAGGAATGGAGGCACAGAGAAGCCGGGGGACTTGCCACATGGCGGTCACTGGCCCAGCTCTGAAGCTCAGGTGCCATGGCAGGTTACTTGCCAGGCCCTGGTGGCCGAGGGGAGCATGTGGTGCTGCAGCGCTGGGTGTGGGTGGCTGGAGTGCCACTTGTTCTGTCCTGGGGCCTGGTCAAGCTGAGAATGTTACTCTTGCCTGCACGTGCTCCAGGGAGGACCTGCTCTGGGCTGGCGCTGTTCCACACACAGGGGGTTCGGCTGTGGCCCAGACGCTGTGCCCGCACCCACTGTGCTCACACCCACTGTGCTCACTTTAGCCGGGGAGTGGACAGTGATGAGAAGTCATGGGGAAACCCTAACCCTGCCCCGTGGCCAGGTGCAGGGCCCCACGGTGCAGGGGGCTGCCCGAGGAGGCAGCGCCAGAGCTGATCTGGCTGTGAGTCGGAGAGGGAGGGAAGGCAGGGCCAAGCTGGCCACAAGGGGACGCTTCGTCTTCATTGCAGGCACAGAGATCCCACCAAGGGGATGTGCCTGATAGATTACCATGCCAGTTGTCCACTGTCTCTCTGGTCCTATTGGCCCGTCGGGCGCCCAAGCCTTGTCCTGGTTTTCACGGTGACCTTTTAGATTGATAGGACAAGTCCCTGGGCTCATAGGGCCCCAGCTCCTCATGGTGTAGGTGGCATCCAGACAGGTCTCCCCGAGATGGGTGCAGTCTTGAGCCCCATGGCTGACCTTGCTCCCTGTTCAAGGCAAGACCCCCACCCTTGAGTGGTCTGCCCAGGAGGAAAATGAACTAAGTGAACCCATACTATATTGTGAGTGACTGATGACAGCTGTGGGCCACCTTGTCCTGGGGGCTGTGACACTGGGCCCCTGGTCTGCCTGGTCCTAACCCCGCCTGGGCTCATCTCTCCAACCCAAACCACCCCAGGAAACATCCGGGTCATTGCTCGTGTCCGACCAGTCACGAAAGAGGACGGGGAAGGACCTGAGGCCACCAATGCTGTGACCTTTGATCCCGATGATGACTCCGTCATCCACCTGCTGCATAAGGGCAAGCCTGTGTCCTTCGAGTTGGACAAGGTCTTCTCCCCGTGGGCCTCACAGCAAGATGTGAGTGTGGCCCTGGGGGACAGCATCTGCAGGGAAAAGGGGGACAGAATAGACCAAACAGTGGGGGTGGGATTGACAAGTGGGACCCCAGGGTTCCTCTCACCTTCCCTCTGGGAGAAAAGGGTGTGGAAAGCCAAGAGCAGGGGCCTCAGAGGACTGGGGGGTGCAGCTCAGTGGTAGGGCACTTGCCTAGGGGGGCTGGGCCCTGGGATGATTCCCAGCATGGCCAAAAGAAGCCTCCCTCAGGAATGGGGAGAACCAGGCGAGCCTTCCCACCCACTGACCATGGCCTCACCTACTGACCGCGGCCCCCATCTGCATGCCCGGGGCCTCCAGGCAGGGGTATGGTGGCTCAGGACTCAGTGCCCAGCCTTCAGCGGTGTGAGGACCTCATGTCTCAGCTTCGTTCTTCTGGCACCTCCACCCAGCTAACCTGCCAGGGCTGCCTGTCCTGTGCCCTCCTGTCCCCACAGCTGGCCCTCCTTTACTCCATCCTGTCCCCTGGCAGGAAGGCCAGGCCAGAGGGGTGCCAGGCCAGAGGGGGTACAGGCCTGTGCTGCCTGTCTTCAGCCCTTCTTGGGCCCCTGTGGGCAGTGTGTGCCCACTGATGATGTGGCGACTCACTACTCAGGAGTCCCGAAGAAGGAGCTGGCTGCCGCAGTTCTGTCACTTTGAAGGGGCCCTGGGCAGGGGAGGTGGCTGGACTGGGCCCCTGTTCGCAGGGCGCTGGAAGCCTTCTCTCTGCCCCCGCATCCCTCCAGGTGTTCCAGGAGGTGCAGGCCCTGATCACCTCCTGCATCGACGGCTTCAACGTCTGCATCTTCGCCTACGGCCAGACGGGCGCTGGCAAGACCTACACCATGGAGGTGGGTGCACCCTTTTTGCTGCTGGGGCTCCCTCGTCACCCCCAGGGTGTGGCGCAGAGCCTGCTTCACCTCCTTTGGCCCTTGCACCCACCCTGGGACAGAGGCTGTCAGACTTCAGTCAGCTCCTGGCCTGAAGAGGGGCTTCCTGCCCCAGAGCACTGCAGTGTCCCAGCAGGACAGGCGGTGGGGACAGCATGCAGGGCAGCAAACCGTCAGAGGGTCTCGTCCAGCACAGGCCCCCGCAGTGCCCCTCGGGACGCAGCCTTCTCTCCCCACACACTTTGCAGAGCCTCCCCTCCTTCATGGCTGCCTCGAGCTGCACCAGGGTGGTGGGATGCAGGGGGTGGGGGCCTCACAGGCATCCCAGGGCATTGGGAGAGGCTGGCCACGTGATGGCTGTTGGTAGGAACCCAGTTTTTTGGGGGGGGTACTGGAATTGAACCCCGGAGTGCTTAACCACTGAACCACCTCCCCGGCTCTTTTAAAAATATTTTATTTAGAGACGGGGTCTTGCTGAGTTGCTTAGGGCCTCACTGAGTTGCTGAGGCTGGCTTTGAACTGTGATCCTCCTGCCTCAGCCTCTTGAGCTGCTGGGATGACAGGTGCGCACCTCGGCGCCTGGCTAAACCCAGCTGTCAGGGCAGGGCTTTGTCTCCTTGAGGTGCAGCGGGAGCAGGTGGCGTGGCCGAGGAGTGGGGCCTGAGAGGAGGAGGAACATTGAGCGTGGAGGGAAATGGGAAGCTGGCCTTCGGGGGTTTGCTGTTGGCTCATTAGTACTTTCCTGGCTTCTTGGGGTGTGTGTGTAATTCCAGGTAGGGGAGGAGGCAGGTGCCCCGTGTCTGGGTGAAGGTGGTGGAGGACTGGACAGGCCCTTCCGGCCAGCTTATGGGTGCCCCCTGGGAGCCTGCCGTGGCTCTGTTCTTCTGGGCTCTCGCTTCCCCAGTTCTAGGGTCATGGAGCCCAGTTACTGAGGGGCAGGCCAACTGGCAGGCCAGGATGGAGGTGGTGACGTTAAGTGTGGCACCTCCTGGGTTCCCTGCTGTCCTGGGGCTGCTCAGAGTTGGGGTGACTACCAGGACCACCAAGCATCTACTCAGCTCTGCTGAGGACTGAGGTGTGTCAGTCACCAGGCAGGCACCGGGGCCCCCACATGACCTAACAGTCCCTGTCCCCACTGGAGCCCACCTGGCAGTGAGGAGACAGTGGTGAACAGAGCCAGTCAGCAGGTGCCAGGGACAACACAGAGCCAGAGGCGAGGCCTGGCAGGGAGGGCATCTGGGGGCTCCAGGAGACAGCACTGGCCGTCAGGGGAGAGCATGGCTGCAGAGGGGACACAGCTAGGTCCTGGGAGAGCAGGGGAGTGGTGAGGGCCAGACTCTGAGGGACGCCACGTACCTTCTGGGAAGGTCTGCCAGTCCCTCAGGACCCAGAGCCTGTGGTTACCCTCCGCCACCCACCGAGCTCCAGGTGGCCGGTGAGGGGATCCACTCACTTCTGCTGCCCCTCCCAGGTGGCCCAGCGGGGCCAGGCACATCTCAGGTGCTCGGCAGCCCTGTGCAGAGCCAGGCCAGGCCCTCCACCCCACGGCTCTGTGTGAAGCCTCAGGGCCAACCTGGCAGGGCACTGCCACTCTAGGGGGGAACTGAGGCCAGGCAGGTGAAGTCGGCGGAGCTGGTGGGGGGCTCCTGAGGGGGGGCGGGAGGTGATGGACTTCATGTGCAACATCAGGGCCACTGGGGTCTTCCCTTCCACCCTCAGGGAACCCCAGAGAACCCAGGCATCAACCAGCGGGCCCTGCAGCTGCTCTTCTCCGAGGTGCAGGACAAGGCGTCCGACTGGGAGTACACCATCACCGTCAGTGCGGCCGAGATCTACAACGAGGTCCTCAGGTGGGCAGCGCGCTGGAGCCCGGGTGGGCGGCAGGGCCTTCCGGTGGGAGTCGACTTCCAAAGGCCGCGGCTAAGCAGCTCGTCCCAGGTCCACCTGACGCAGCCCAGGAGGGCCAGGTGGTCCCAGCAGGAGAGGCTCTCCCTGATCTTGCCTGGGAGGTCCTGCCCACAGGCCAGTGCAGTGTGGAGGCCAGAGAGACCATCCGGGGACTTCTGGGGAACAGTCTGCCTCACCTCTTCAGCTGAGGCCTGGGAGAGGCATGGGGAGAGCTGGGCTTAACCTGATGGTCAAAGAAGGTGTGACGGGCAGGGATCCGTCCAGGCTGGGGAGGTAGGGGGATGCAGCGACTGTCCTGCCTGCCCTTCCAGGGACCTGCTGGGCAGAGAGCCTCAGGAGAAACTGGAGATCCGGCTGTGCCCGGATGGCAGCGGGCAGCTGTACGTGCCGGGGCTGACGGAGTTCCAGGTGCAGAGCGTGGAGGACATCAACAAGGTGCCCGCCTCGGGGACTTGGGGCCGGGGAAGTGCTGGGTGACACTCTGGACATGAGCAGGCTGTTCCAGAGGATAGGACCAGGCTGGAATTAGGCTCAGCCACGTCCCAAGTGGCATGTCCCCAGGCCTTCCTGGGCCTCCGTTTCTCCTCTGTCTGAAACGCAGCAGGTGGCGTCACCCTTCCCAGGGCTGCTTTTAGAGACAGGCGATCCCAAAGCCTCCCTCTGAACCCTGTGCCCCTGACTGTCCCCAGGTGTTTGAGTTTGGCCACACGAACCGCACCACCGAGTTCACCAACCTGAACGAACACAGCTCGCGCTCTCATGCCCTGCTCATCGTCACGGTGCGCGGTGTGGACTGCAGCACCGGCCTGCGCACCACGGGTGAGGCAGGCGGCAGGCGGCCTGGCTGAGGATTGCCAGGGTCCCCGTCGTGGGCAATGGATGGGGACCAATGGCAATGGATCTGCCTGCCATCCTCCCCGCAGGGAAGCTGAACCTGGTGGACTTGGCTGGCTCGGAGCGTGTGGGCAAGTCGGGGGCCGAAGGCAGCCGCCTGCGGGAGGCCCAGCACATCAACAAGTCGCTGTCAGCCCTGGGGGATGTGATTGCTGCCCTCCGCTCCCGCCAGGGCCACGTGCCCTTCCGCAACTCCAAACTCACCTACCTGCTGCAGGACTCACTTAGCGGTGACAGCAAGACGCTCATGGTGGTGCAGGTGAGGGCCCTGGGGCAGGGTGGCACAGCCCTGGGTGTGCAGGATCCCAGGCTGCAGAGAGCGACTCTGGTCTTTGGTCGCTGTGGTCTGCACCTTCCCCTCAGCCAGGCCAGGCTGTCTCCAGGAAGCCTTCTGGAGTCCCCTGGTTGGGAGCAGCCAGCTGGCCCGGGTGGGGTGCGAGCTGTCATGTCTCCTAGGTGTCCCCCGTGGAGAAGAACACCAGTGAGACGCTCTACTCCCTCAAGTTTGCTGAGAGGGTCCGCTCTGTGGAGCTGGGCCCTGGATCCCGCCGCACAGAGCTTGGGTCCTGGTCTAGCCAGGAGCATCTGGAGGTACTCCAGGCCTGTGTCACACTTAATGGTCACAGGCAGGGGGAGGTGGGGCACTTCCTTGAGTGGGAGGGGAAGAAGCTGCCTGGTGGGTGGGGTTAGAACTTGAACCCAAACCCAGTAGCCCTTTAATCCAAGTCTTCTTGGCCTGAGAGGTCCTGAGGAGCGCATCCGTTGTCAGGGAGCTGCCGTGCGGGCCTGACACATGGGGCGTTGCCATAGGAACTAGTTGACTCCTGTTCCTATATTATCTCACTTAATTCTTGCAGGCAGGAGTATCATGAGGCCCATTTTGCAGATGAGGAAACAGAGTTTTAGGAATGGGGGTGGGGAAGCATGGGGGGAGGGGAGGAGCCAGGGCAGCCACGCCCACCCCCTTCCTCTTCACAGTGGGAGTCGGCTTGCCAGACACCACAGCCTTCAGCACGAGCCCACTCGGCCCCCAGCTCTGGGACCTCCAGCCGCCCAGGCTCCATCCGGAGGAAGCTGCAGCCCTCTGGTGAGATCCCCACACGAGGGACAGTCTCAGCCACCAGGCTGCCCTTACCTGGATGGGCTTTTCCTTTCCTTGTTAAAGCTTGTAACTTTAGCACGAGTCTCACATCCTCCCTGCCCTAGAGGTAGTCAGGGCAGGCAGGACTGTGTCCATTCTACAGATGGGAAATCCAAGGCCCCCAGAGAAGGGTGGTATCAGGAGGAGCTGCATCTCCTGCCCTGGGCCCTGGCTCTGAGGGTGGAAACTCAGGGCTCACCCATGTCCCAGATGAGTGGGCCCCATCCCCAACTACAGTCCAGGGCTCCAGCCTCTGCTGGGCTCTCATGGAAAGGCCTGGCCTGTTCCCAGTCCAAAGGGACAGGGCAGCACGTCCTGGTCAGGGGCAGGCCCACAGTGAGACGCCTGTTGCTTTGATTTCAGCCTGACGGCTGGGGCTGCAGTGTCCAGGTGAGTTGGGGCCAGCGGCCCAGGCTGCTTGCCTGCCACCCACCTGCTGCCAGCTTTGGGTGGCAGGGCTGTGCCGGTGTTCAGCTGCTTGGGGCTGGGCCTGTCCTGCTGCCGCTGCTGTCCTTGTGCTCTCCCAGGCCCCCTCCTGCACTGGCATCTGCCCCTGCTGTGGGCACAGCTGCAGTGCGGGGCAGAGGCTGACGATCCCTGGCTCCTCCCACAGGGAAGTCCAGGCTGGTGCCTGTGTGAGGACATCCATCCTGCTGGCCTGGAGCTGGACCCTAAGGCCTTGCTGGCCTGCTCCTGCTACAGCAGCACCACAGGAGGTGGAAGGTCCTCTGCCCTGCTCTCTTCAGAGATAAGAAACATGTCCAGAAGGAAGTAGTGTCTCTCGGCTGTGGCTCTGGGCACAATGTCATGGGCTTAAAGGGCAGGCAGGGATGGCCCGCCCTGCCTGGCAGGCCTGAGCCATCCGTCGGAGCTGGGCCCTCACAGGGAGGGCAGGAGCGTGTGGGAGGGTGGGCCTCTGGCCCGGGGTGGCCCATCTCCTCCCCAGGCTGTGGGCCTGGCAGCCTGCTCTGAGGGGTAGGCTGAGGCCTCACGAAGCACAGGAACCCTGGGAACAGAGCTGAGCTGGTGGGCACCAGGGGCAGCCTGTCCCTGCTCTCCTCCAAGGAGAGAGGGAGGTCCCCAGCCGGGCATGTACATAGTGTGCCTAGGTGTACATAGGCGCCTGGTCCTCCCTGCCACGGGGCCAGGCTGTATTTATGGCTGGCAGAGGTGGCCAGTGGGCGGGCCTAAGTCCCCCGCATCTGCCTGGCACCAGGCGCTGTCCTTGCCCACTGGCTCCTTGACATTTTCCTTCCTCCGAAATCCTATTTAAAGACTTTTGGAAGCTTAGCCATTTTTACTTATTAAAATAAAAGCCTTTTTACACAAGTGTAGTATGAGTTGGTCTTGGGAGTCCCCGCTGGCTGGACTGCAGGGAGCTGGGCAGGGGCATGACCAGCTGCCTCCCACTGCTGGCCAGTCACCAGCCCTCCAGGACCCAGCTCTCCCAGGACCACACATCTGAACAACTGGAGGAGGCGGGGGTCATCGCTGCCCCCCCACCCTGTAAAAGTGCCTGTTTCTGTTGTTCACAGTCACAGTTACCCTTCTGAGCCCAGCCTGTGCCTGCTGACTGCCCTACCTGACAGGCTTTACCTGTGTTCAGGCAGGACACTAAGGTCTGGGGAGCTGAGACTTGTCAAAGGTTTGCCCAAACCAACCCACCCACCACTGACCCTCTGCCCTGGCATTCCGTCCTGGGTGAAGGGACCAGGGGAGGATACCACCCTCCCCTTGGTGCCTCTAGTACCCTGATCAGTGCAGCTCCCACCCCCCAGGGGACCCTGTTCAGGAGCTCAGAGGGCCCCTCCTTTCCTTGCCTGGGCTGCAGTGCAGCAGGGTAGGGGCGCTGCCCTTTAGGGATGACCACAGGGGTGGGTCTGGCTGGCCAGCCAGCCCAGGGGACTCCTGGAGGAAACGAAAGCTGTCAGAGGCATTCTGGGGGCCAGCCGGTGGCAGATCCTGGCACCCTGCAGTGCACAGCTGCCAGGGCTGGGCTTCCAGGGCCCTGAAGGGGCTCAAAGGACAGCTGGGAGTGTGGCCCAGCCCAAGCCCCAGCCCCACCTGTTCCCCTAGCCGCGGGAGGGGCTACCCTCTTCTCCAGTCTGAACTGACCTTTTCTGTTACCCTGCTGCCCCCTACTGGCTTAGAGAGGACAGCACAGGCCATCGTGGGCCTGGGGACCCCATGAGGCCAGAGGATGCCTCTCACAAGGAAACCAGGGAATAGTTACAAATTTAATAAAATTTGCCTTATAAATTACAGCAGCAGCCCCAGGGCTCAGTTTGCTGCCCCAAGAAGCAATAGTTGGGCAAAGCTGGGCAGCTGGAGAGGAAGTTGTTGCAGAATCCGGGCTGTGGAGGTGGCCGGTGGGCCAGCCCATCTCCAGGATAGCTGCAGCGGCAGGGGCCGGCAGAGCTCGTGGCCAGAGGGCACACAGAACAGAAGGGGGTACCAAGGACAAGCCCAAGGGCTGCCTGGTGCCCCACCCACTGGCTCTTCAGTCCAGACTGGCCATGAGCAGGTGCAGTTCGCGGAAGGCACTGCCGTGGCGGCCGCTCAGGCCCGACTTGCTCTTGACGAGGCCACTGATGCTCTTGAGCTGCTTGTAGCAGAGCCGGCACTTGTGTAGTCTGTGGGCAGAGGGTTGGCACCTGAGGCAGCCAGCCGGCCACCATGGCCCCACCTAGCATCGGGACCCAGGTGTCCTAACAGCCCTCCTCCCAAGGGAAGGCTGTGGCCCTGAGCACAGGACCCGAGGCCATGCCAGGGCTCAGGGCGTAGCCAGCACGGGGAAGAACCCAGGCTCTGGCCAGGGCCTGTGCCACCACCCCCAACCCTGTGTGCTTCCCCATGAGCTGCTATATCAGGGCCATTAACATATGGGCCCTGTGTCCCTTAGCCTGCTGGGGCACCCCTGCCAGGCACACACTGGCCCTCACCTCTCCTCACGAGTGATGTCCACACCCACAGAGGGTGGAGCTGCCAGGATGTCAGTGATCAGCGGCAGAAACCTCTGCAGGATGAGCTTCAGGGAGGTACAGCCTGTCTGGACGTAGCTTCAGGGACAGACAGGTGGAGTCAGAGACGGACACCAGGGCAACCAGAACGGTAGTGAGGTACAACAGGACAGTGTGGGACGGGGCGTGGGGGGGCAGACACAAGGCCACTTGCTCTGGCCACTGCTGCAGAGGGGCAGGGTCCCTGGAGGAGCACTGCCAACCCCCATGCAGACCCAACTCCCTACCTCTCGTACTTGCTCTGCAGAAGCTTCTCGATTTGTGGCAGCACCGTGGTACACAGGTCCAGCTTCCAGAGGGAGCTGGGGAAAGGCCAGGCAGGCACCATCAGGCCGGCCCCGCCCACCCCTCCCTTCCCCTCCCGGCCACTTACGCTTTCTGGTTGAGGATGTTCAGGAGGTCCACCACTACCGACAGGTCACTGATGGCCACCGCAGAGTCTACGGACGTCTGTGCAAACAGAGCTCCATGAGCGGGTGGGACATGTGGGGAGGTGTGAAGATGGGGCTGGGGTTTTACCAAGACCACGCGCCTAAAAGGAGGAGGGCAAGGCCCAGCAGAAACGGATGCTCCATGAATGGCAGCGTGTGTCACACGGGAGGAGCAGGTCGGGTGAGACAGGGCTGCCCGCCCCAGCCCCAGCCCCAGCCCCGGCCTGGTGTCATGTCGGCCAGGCAGCAGTGGGGCACAACAGCCCCGGGCAGAGGAGGGCACCTGCCTTGACATCGCCCGTGGTCCACACGGCCCGCACAGTATCCAGGTTCTTGTGGCGGCTGGTGAGCACCACACACATGGTGTCGTGGCCTTTTCGGATCTGGGACATGGCATCCTCGTCCACCAGCTCCGCCTGCTGGGGGACCTTCACGGCCTATGTGGGACAGGCACCCAGACGCTGACACGGGAACAGGTGGCAGGGCTCTGCCCTGGCCCATGGGCCTCCACCCACCCCACAGCTGGACCCCACTCACAGGCAGGAAGTCAGAGGCCTTCAGCCCAATGGGCTCGTTCCTCGTGGCAGGGATGATGGCGGGATCACCCTTGGGTGCAGGCGTGGAAGTGGTGACCAGGGGCTGGGGAAGGGCTTCAGGCTAAAGGGAGCAAAGGATCAGCAGGTGGCCACCCTGGGCCTCCCCTCTCTGCCTCCTAACATGGGCGACCCCGATCCTGGCTCACGACTCCAGTCCTCCCAGCCCTGGACGTACATTTGGTGCTGGGAACTGCACGTCCATGGCTGTGCTGGGCTTCACTGCCTCCTTGGCCGTGGTCGTGTCTGGGGCAAGAGGAAGACGCACTGGATCAGACCAGGAGAGACTGGGAGAGAGGCAGGCCCGGGTGGGATTCTAGGTGGCTCTGTGCCCAGGGGGTGGCACAGGGAGATCTGTGTCCGGGGGCTGAGCCTGTCTCCTCCTGTCCTCCAGTCTCTTTGTGGATGGGACCCAGGAGATTCACAGCCCTCTCTTCACAGCGAGTGCGGGTAGGGAGGGGACCTGGGCTGTGAACAGGAACTGGAGGGGGAGAGGGCCCCCCTGCCCCTTTCCATCTTCATCTTAACTCCCAGCAGGGCCTGGCTTCCTGCTGGGCTGGCTGTCAGCTCCAGGCCCCCAGGCCTCCTCGCAGTGCCTTCCTTCCCCAGGCTTCTCCCTCCTCTCACCATCCTCAGACCTCCTCAGAGCCGTCCCCTCAGCCCATGTCCAGTGGCCCTGGTGACCCCACTTCCTTCACAGCACGTGTCCCCAGGCAGGCCCCCTGCAGCTGTCTGTCCACTGTCTCTCTCCACCGTTAGGCACAGGCCTCAAGGGAGCACCTGCCTGCCTCACGCCCACTGTCACCAGGGCCGTGCCCGTGCAAACAGCAGGCACTGTTGAGGAGGGAAGGACAGGAGCCCGTGGGGGGAGGCTGGAGGTCATGCCATGGAGGGGAGGCCTGGGAGAGCCAGGCCCCTAGAGGCCAGCTCTGCCCCAACTCACCATCCTCTGGGGGTGCTGGGAAGGGCTCACTTCTTCGGGGTGGTGTCCGGCCTGCCGAAGCAAAGTGGGCTGACTGAGGACACCAGCGTCCTGTCTGAGAGCCCTCCTGGCCATGCCAGCCGAGGGCCCAGGGGCTAGTCAGAATGCTGAGATGAAGCTGTCCCCAGGCAAAGATGACACCGCTCTTGACCCCAGGAGCCCCAGCCCACTTCTCCTGTGGGCCCTCCCTTTGCCCAGGGCAGGGCTGGGGCACCGAGTGGCTGCTGGGCCTCTGCTGGGGAGTGCCCAGGCTCCTGCCCTCAGTCCCATGGACGCCCAGCCCACAGGGCCTGGAGGACAAGGCAGAGGCTGGGTGCAGGAGGGGGCCAGGGACGAGGACAAAGGGCTCAAGCCCAGCCAGATGTCCCTGGGAAGGACCAGGGCCTCCCCTCAGCAGGACAGGGGCCTCACTGATGCTGTTCTTGGGCTGGAAGATCTCGGTGTAGTCCTCGGCGTTCTGGATCTCCGCCCGGGACTCCCGCTCGTCCCGGTCGTCCTCACTGCTGGGGCTGCGACGCTCGCTCTCCGAGTTGCGTTTCACCCTGGGGTGCAGGGCAGAGCCCAGGGCACCAGGCCCAGGTGAGTCGGGCTGCCCCCACCAGCCCCCAAGACGACCCGGGCCCACACCCCAGGCGCCCACCTCTGAGGTTTGCTGCAGGTCGTGCTGGGCCGTTCATAGATGCGCCGGAGAGGGACACTGGGGTGGGGCGACTGCTGCGCCAGGGGCTGGCTGTCCTGCACGGGGTCCTGGGCCACAGTGCCCGTCCTGGTGACTCGTGTGAGGTCCACCACGTAGGAGGAGACGTTGCTCTGAGAGAAGGCCACGCCTATCTGGGGAAGCAGGGGAGGGAGTGAGGAGGCTGGGGTTGAGGGGGCAGTGGCTTAGCAGAAGGGTGGACATGGGTGCCTCGGCTCTCTTACCAGCTGGTCATTGCAGATGGCCAGGTCGGCTACCTTGCCCCAGTTCACCAGGACCACGTCAAAGCAGCGCTCGGGCTCCCAGCCGTAGACACGCAGCGAGTCCTGACAGCCACTGTACAGGCAGCAGCCATCGGGGTTGAAGAGGACGCTCCTGGGCCAGGAAGAGTTGGCCGTGGGTCCCAGGGCACTCCCTGTACCCCACTCTGAGACACCGGGAGAGCCAGGGAAGAGGCCAAGTGGAGACAGGGCACTGGGCCCACCGCATCCCCTGGCCAGGGCCTGGGCCCAGCACTCTGCCCCTGCATACCTGACGGGGCCAGGCTCTCCTTCGATACAGCTCACCACCTGGAACTTCTCCAGATCCCAAAAACGGATCGTCCTG